TTGGCATTGCGTATTATATGGCTGAAGCTATGCTCATATTAAATTTCATGCAATTCAGTTCATACCTAACTAACGGAGATGTCAAAGCGATCGGACATTTCTAAACAAAGTTATCGTTCACACGGACAGATACATGGACAGACAGACAAAGGAACACACGGACAGACCAACAGACAGACGACAGACAGTAATACAAAATTATAAACGATCTCTAGGATCGTTAATAAACGGCAAAAGTGTAAAATTATGGAACATGTAAAAAACGGTTTATTGGGTTTTTTTTACAATAACTGTTTTAGCAATATATGCAGACAAAATTCCTTCTTTGGTGCAATCCTCGACACCATAACGAACCAAATAGCGAAAAAAAGTAGAACAATAGCTCTGAAGATAAAGAACTAAAGTCCGTTTCAGATGTCCGTGCAGTAAAGGAATGTGCATATATCGAAAAATTTTAAAGAGCCGCAATGCAATTTCCTTTTGAAAACCAGTATTTAAAAGCGGACAAATAGGAAAAGTACGCTCCATAGCAATAAGGGTTTGAAAGGATCGCCTAGACAATAGTTAATGAGCTTATAATGGTTTTATTTACACGTTTAAAATGTTCATGGGCGTGCAAATGGGTAAAACAATTGCTCATGCACATTAAGTACAAATTATTAAGAATGCATTCCAAAAATATATGCAATTAAACCAAGTGTAATTACCATGTATAATCATTAAACATTAAAATGTATATAGATATCATATTAATAGAAACGTATTAGATCCTAGCTGAAACCCTAAAGTATGTTGAAATGGTGCGCTACTGGAAAATAGCCGCAGGCGCATTCCTTTACTGCACGGACGTCTGAAACGGACTATAGTAGCGTCTCAACGAACGAGCGGACGGACGAACGGACAAAGTGACCACAATAGCACATTTTTTTTATTTTTGTAAATATGCGCTAAAAAGTATATAGAGAATCTTTGAATTTGAAAAATATTTGAAAGTGAAAAAACCCCGTTGGAAATTTAGGGACAATGGCAATATTCCAATTGGAAGTGTTAAATTTAGCAGGTCGGTTAATTCCTCAAGCTTTTGATGGGGATTATGGAAGTTTAACATCATTTTTGAACTCTGCAGCTGCTATTTAATAGTAATCGGGCGTTCAGAAAAGCCTAATTTAAATAACTTGCGAAAGGTGTTTGATACGTGTAGAAAATTTAATTTAAAACTCAGTCCTAGTAAATGCAAATTTTTTCAGGAAGGCCTTAAAGTGACGGACAATGGTATTTTACCTGATGATACGAAATTTCAAACGGTTCAAGATTTTCCGACGCCAGAAACAGCAAAGGAAATCAAAAGATTTGTGGCATTTCGTAATTATTATCGTAGATAATTTTACATAGGAAAAATGCTAAATGTGTGCTCAAAGGAATGTGAACAAAATTTTGAAACTTTAAATTCAACTATGACTAGCCCCCGTATTTTGCAATATCCAGACTTTGATAAACCATTTGTACTTACGACAGATGCACCTAATATTGCTTGTAGTCCAATACTGTCACAGGATTTTAATGGTTCAGATCTACCAATAGCGTATGCGTCCAAAACTTTTACATAAGGAGAATCACGCCAACCAATTATACTAAGAGAGTTGACAGCCATCCATTGGGTGAATGTTCTTTAATAATTATAGCAACCCCTACATGAGCTCTTTGGCCCGCGTTCCAATCTTTCCTTACTATAGAGTAAAGGGTCTTTTTTTTGTAATAATAATTGAAGCTCACATAGATATACCATTACAATTCCAGTGGGTGATAGCTTCGTCCATAGTGGACGAAGATATGTCAATAAAATTATTTTTTTGGAAGTGGTTTTATCTTCAGACGTTGTGTATAAATGATCATCTGTTGAGACCAAGTCTAATCTCGCTCTAGATGGGACAGTAAAATCGTTTACTGATTTTGATTGATTTACATCTGCAATAATTGTATTCTTAATTATATTTTCCCTGTGCGGTAACATCTGTTTAATGATATCTTTGGGTTCTTCACGAGGTGGATCGTGCGGAGATTTTCCACAAGCGCATGTTTTCTGAACTTTACATTTTTCAGCAACATGTCCAAATAGTAGACAATTAAAGCATCGGATTGGTGGAAAAATAAAGGGCCTGACATTGAAACTATAAAAGGATACGTTGGTAAATTTGGAGTGCTGAATGAAAGTGCATGACTGGATGTGTCAACTCATACGCCATCTTTTTTGGTCTTCAGCCGTCTAACCTGTGTTACTCTAATATGCCTCACTTCTTCTAGTATTTCCTCTATTGTACAGTTTAATAAGTCCTTCAACTATCACCCCTTTTCCTGCAAACGTAGTTGCTTCAAGAAGTTTCTTTGTCTGTTTTTCTGTTTCGTCTGTACTAATAATCCATCTTTAATTCGAATTAATATATTTTCTCCAATTAAACCGTACATCTCGTAATTAAAAATGGAATCATTTTGTCAAAATTGTCCATACCGTCTTCTGTACTCTTTACTAACAGGAACCAGGAAATTGATTCCGCCGTCTCCACGCCAGTGGTTGCATCGAGTCTGGTGGCACAAAAAGGAGACATCGAGCCACCATCCATTCTCTCGCCGGATCGGCCATCCGGACGGATTCGATGGTAGTCCGATCCAAACCCCCTGTCACCCGTAGGATTTATGTTTGTCGTACTATTCATAAACAAAGAAGGCACCTTTTAAAGCTAAAGTTTAAAGCATTTGTTAAGTCTAATCACGGTCATATTTATGCCACAACCATTCAGTGTGAATTGAGTAAATACGTGATGATCGTGCCCATTCCAAAAAAAAAGCTATAATTGATAATTTCATTCTGGTATAAGGTATACCAAAAGAGAACTTGGTACTAAATATACGAATGAACTTTTTAATATTAATTATTCGGCTTATTATAGCATAAAATGTAAAATTACCAAATCCAATTAATAAAGTTAAAATAGATCCATATAATTGCATATGAGCAATAACTTAGATATAGTAGGTTACAGTTATCGAATAAAAGGGTCCGACAATTTTTAGAACTTGTAAAACAAAGAAAAGAGAATCGTGAAAAGTTGTGAATTAAAATTAGAAATTGGTGTTAATAACAAACGAAGCTAGAACTCATGGTTTAAAGGTCCTTATAAGGTGTTGGAGTTACAAAGAGTAAATTGTGTTGTGGAAGATGAGTTAGGAGTTAGTAGCTTAGTACATAAGAATAGAATTAAGAAATTTGGAAGTTAAATGATGATTAATGTTATATGTATGGGTATTGTAATGTTCATTACATTTTTTTAACCCATATATGGACTATTTGAAATTTTGATTACCTAGCTACATATTAAAACAATTAAATGCAAGATTATTTTAAGCTTTACGTTAAAGGTAATAGTGTTGATTACTGTGCTTTAGAATAATCTCCACTGTGTAATGATATAAAGGAACACCCTGTGTGTATATTAGTGAATCGTATGTATGTTAATGTAGTTATTGCAAATGTTTTTGCTTACATAGATACTACTATATTATGTTGACACAAAAAGTAATAAGAACGTGGTACACCGGTACTTGACGTTCCAAAAGAAGAGGTCGTCTTAAATTACTATATAATATAAAGGTTGATTGAGAGAAATTGGTTTCTGTACTGACATCCTTTTACATTACATCATATCTCAAAACGACAATTACAGTAAAATATGTCTCATTTAAGATAAAACGTTTACTAAAAGCGATATTTTGAATCTGACTCCCACAGGATAATTTTAGATTCGACGGAGACACGATAAAATTCCCTCACTAATTTTTTTTCCTACAATCAGCTTCCTAGCTCAAGCTAGGTGGCTATTGCGATCAACACAGGAAGCACCGTTTTTTGAACATGTTAAAATGTCATCACGTTTTAGGTCACTTTTAAAGAATAAAATTTTATTGTTGCTAGTTTCGAAGTATATGTAACGTCAAAGGATCGAATGTTAAAATGCTAGGGTGGGGAAGCGAGAGTAGATTTTAATTGCGACAGCAACAGTTCGTGAAAGTGAATTACTAGCAGTTTGCAATCGGCTCAGCAGTAGGTAGTAAGATATAAAGAATAGGTAATATAATATATAATCTATTAGCCATTTCAAGTCTCCACGAATTAGTGAATGGTCTGTAAAACAATGCTTCGCTTCATGCTGTAGAATCGCAGTCCCTAAATTAAGTGGTTCTTAACCTTTTAGACACTGCAATCCTTTTTTCAAGATGAGTATTTTGCGGACCCCCCCTTATGAATCATAATTTTTTTAATGCATAATAAAAACGTCTTTAATTTTTCCCCCTGGAGCACGTTCTGCGACCCCCAGGGTCCTACATAAGCGAGGCGAGTTTTGGTGTAGCGGTCATTCCTTGTGTGAGTTCGAGTAGCTTTACGACCACCAGTTTCGTAATCTTATATTATGTCACCTAATTAATTTATATACAGAGTGTCCCATTTATCGCGAGACAGTCGATTATTGCAGAAACTAACGTGGATTTCAAAAAATGACAAAAATATTATTATTAGGATTATTATTAGGAGCCCATTTAATGATTTCACATAACTGTTCCTGAAGGATCAAGTGTAGGGCAACTTATTATACTTTTTATTGAATATTCTTATTCTACATCGGAAAGTAGTAAACTTTCCTGGGAAACGTTTTTTTCCTACACTCTTCCACTTTTCGTTTGAGCTAGGAAGCTCTTCTATCAAGAATTTGGCACTTTTTTTGTATAAAACAAACTATGCTTTACTTTTCAGACCGCAGCAACAAAGATTCTACCTTTATGATATAAACTAATGCCGTTTGGTCTGAGAAACGTTCCAGTCGGTATATCAAAAATGAAAGCAGGAATTTCCAATGCGTTTTCTGAGTGCAATTCGATTTTACTAATTCATTAGCGGGATCAGATTAGCTTACGTACCTAAATAAACGAGTTATGAAACAGTAAATTACCTGTGTCGGTCGCCGTGGTGACCCGTGGTGGCGGCGCCAGGTCTAAAGGGGGGTGCACCCCCCTCACCCCGCCTACCACATCGGTCTGCCGAGATTTCCTGCAAACAAAAGCATAATTAAAACAAGAGCAGCGAGCAATCAACCGTTACGACTCGACGCCAATAAAAAAACTGTTGCGGCTCGGCCACTTTAAAAGAATAAGCAACCTGCAAATCCCGGTAGATTAACGAATTCGTGTTTTTATCGCCCCTGATCAATAAAAGGGCATCGCGCTCCGTACTCCTCTCTTGTTTTGAATTGAATAAAATAGCAATGTACAGAGCGTAAAGTGGGCGAAAGGATCTAAATTTTTAAAACTTCCCCCCTGTTTACACTTGGAACGCAATATTTTTAGATAGACGTAGAGGAAAGGCAGTAAAAGTTTTACTATTTTCTCTTCTTAACCGCAAGCGATGCGATTTACTTTATTACTTCTAGAGGCCACGTTATAACCTAAAGACTTTTGTTTCGAATCGAATTCTATTACCGCGAGTCGCCGACAAAAAAGGGTGGTTGAAAGTAAATGAGTTTTCTCTAAAAAAAACTAGAATTTCAAAAGTAAATGGGAAAGTCGCTAGAGCTTAATAGTTTGCAAATTTCGTTCGCGATCGGTCGCTTCTATAGACGGCGAGTTGATCGATTTTATCCGCAAGACTCTTACTTTTAATAGTTTCTTAGGTTACAGCAAATCGATGATGCATTCTTATTAATATTTCGTAGCAACGAGAAACCCCGAATCAACGTGAGTGGAAACACTGAAGGTACGGAAACTGCACCGACCTCCGGCTTTACATTCGATCTAAATGGAAGAAGATAAAATATCTGCATTTATTCAGAATCAAGATGCCACTGTCACGCCGCCTCTGTTTGCCTTTTTTGAAACATTTCAAACAGATTGAAAAGAAAATTATGCCATAATGAAATGACACTTCTCCTAAGAACCAAGCCAAATTGCAGAAAGCTCCCAAAGCGACAATTCCCAACCAAAATCGACACCGACTTCAAAAAAAGTACCTCCCATCTTCATTCATGGTACAGTTAACCACCAAGAAATCGTCTCCGACATTATGCAAAATTCTCAACTAACTCACTAAGAATAAATGTCACGACAGAAGATGATCACCAAACTCATAAAGTTTCGTATCACACATTATAAAAACCCCTTTCGGTTGCGATTAAAAATGTACCGCTATCTTTAACAGAAGAACTAAAACTCGAAAACCTCCCTGTACTACTAACCAAATTGCTAAATCGCGAAAAACATCCTATTCCTCTTTTTTTGTATAGGTATACGTTTTTGTGTAGATTCCTTTTTAAAAATACCGGTCAGTTTTAAACAATATGTATGGCCATCTTTGATCTTTTTGGAGATATTTTTATTTTAAGAATAAAATTGACAGATAAAGGAGATACTTTAACACTTTGTACCTCAGCGACTATTAGATATAAAACAATAAAATTTTGGGCATATGAAAAATGCGTTATTCGAATAATAATGATGATTTTTCACACAAAAATTGCAGGATCTTCACAAGTTATAAGAATATTTTTTTCGGTTTTTTTAAAAAAAACTGGCTTTTTTCAAATGGAGTGTCCCTTTTTTGTTTCGGATATTAAATCTAGCATTTTCATTCGATTGATATGACATTGTCCTATACCTAAAATTGGTGATTTTCAAGTTATTTTTTTAATAAAGTAATTTATAATACAAATCACGATTGCCTTGAACAAAATAAATGCCGTTACTATGGGAATTGCAACTTAGTTAACTGTCAATTTAAAAAAACACATCTAAAAATATTAAGAGACGACTTCAACCCTATTCCCTTTTTGTTCCAAGCATTTTTGGACTCCAAAAAAACTCACCCTGTAATTTTTTAATAAATACGTTTGTAGTAACAGCACTTTTTGTTTTTTAATCGGGATGGGGGGGCGGGCGCGTGAGTAATTTTAGTTTTACGAAAGGGGGCGCCATGAAAATAAGTTTGAGAACCACTGCTATAGATTAATGAAAACGATAGATCGAAATGTTTCCCAGCACCATTAATGGACACGGTTGGATGAGCTTCAAAAAAAGCCAAAACATTGATTACCATATGTATCTCCTGTTACAGTATTCTGCCTTACCATAAAACTTCCTGAACTTCGGCAATTTTTCAACACAGCATCCAAAGTTTTCCTGGTTGCCCTTCTTAATGTGGGAAAACGCCCATTGAATAAATCTAAAGAACGATTCACGTTCTTATGGCAATCTCCATAAATTATTATTAATTTCACGTAATCTTCGTTACAAAAATTAGCCATAATCTAAAACTCTAAAGAACACTACTGCCTGGCTTGACATATATTATTCAACAAAATTTCCATGGCAATCATGATTTGTTTTATTCATGGCAATCATGATGTTTTATTCGTGTCCTTCATGATTTGTATAAAAAAATGTTGTCTAGAATTAATATCTGATCTAAAAAGAGAGGCATTCCATTTTAAAAACTCCGAACTTTTTTGAAAAAACTGAAACAACAATATTTTTACAATTTGTAACAGTCAAAGATGGCCATCAGAGATATTGTTTATTAACCTAAATCTAAATCTAAATGTGAAATAAAAAAATGGGGGTTGCCATGTAAAATATGGAAGTTGGTACGTTAGAAAACTGCCACAATTTTAAAAAAGAGGTTCTTGGTCGTGAACCTTAGTGTGTAAATTTTTATAAGCGTATCATTTCCATTCTCCTACATAAGGCTAATTGTCCCTTTAAAAGAAAGACCCATTATAAGAACATCACAATTACACCACGAACTAGGAGTTAACACAATTCAAACCTTCATAAATAACAATCAATAAATTCCACCAAAAAATTAAATACTGTGAAGAGCATCTCAACTTAGGACCAAAAAATATACATACCCGAGTGAAACGCCTAACCCAAGACTTAATAGACATTAAGAGCGCTATCTTTTGAAAAAAGTCCTATCAAATAAAGGCCATTGTTAGATACCTTTACTATTAAACTCATTTTTTAATTAATTTTTATATCGATGCCATGAATAACAAATTATTTGTTGAACTGGTATACAATAAAATTAAAAAAAATTAGCAATATAAGAATTCGTATACGTCACAAGTTTTATTTCACAGAAAGTTGCGGATGCATTAAATATTATCCTGCGAACAGTAACAAACCTCTAGAAAGTCCTAAAAAATAAGACAATGTAAGCAACCCGTTGACGATGTTGTTTGTTTCACACGATTAGTGTGTTAAAACACACGTTAAATTGTTGAATGTAGATACTTTTTGGTAATACCAAAGTGGGTACTCTTTGGTAATACTTTGTTTCCAAACTAACGATTTGTTATTTCAGAAACAAACCTTCGAAACGGTATGATTAGCAAACAACATTATAACCGAAAAATTGGCGAGAAAGGGGGCACGTTACGAACGTTATTAATTTTCCTTTACGTCCAAATCATAATATCCACCTTGTTGGCTAGATCAATGCGCTATACAGTTTCTTGTCTTCCATAACTTGGATCAATGAGTTTTTTTGGCTAAAGCATAGTGATAATGCCAAATGCCATTACATTATGCAAATTGGAAATCAATACTTGGCAGCCCCCAAAAAGTAAAACATTAAACTAAGCCCGATAGTTCAGTCGACAATCAATAATAAATTAACCCCTAACGTTCCCTTACATCAGAAATTGCAATTTGTGCCGATTCAGAAATCCAGCGGTGTCCATGATGTTTTAAATCGAAAAATTTTAATAAGAAAATCTGTGCATTTCATCTCGTGTATAAATGAAAGCGAGTTTCTTACGCCCGGCTATATAAATATTTAAAACAGTTTTTCTTTATTAGTTAAAGCCGCTTACATTTATTTAACCTAAAAATAATTTCATTACTTACCCCAACACAAATTAATTCATCCGTTTTTAATTAGTTTTATTTTTCGTGACGGGAAAACATTGGGTTCGATGTGTTTACAATTTAGTAACGAAGAGTTGCGGGTATTTAGGAGTAAATTAGGTTTTTTGTTTGAGAAATGTTTAAGAAAATTATTAAACACGAACGTACAATATATAGGTATAGAAAACGCCCCTATTATTTCATAAACCACGATAATTGCGTTCCAGTAGAGATACAGTGGTCGAACAGGACAAATCGAAATTTGTTATGCAGAAACCACGTACTATTTTTCATGTAGAAAATTTCCTGTTATCATTTCACAGCGTAATAGTACAAAATACGAGAGATAATACAAAAAACGAGATAGCGCGTAATGAAGAGTTCCTTTCATTATAATTAAGCAAATAAATTCGTGAATTTAAATGATCGACTCTTAATAATTGGATTCAGTTTGATTTAAACTAATTATGGACCGAAATCATATGTTTTGTTATTTTATGTAATCCTCTTGTTCTTCGCGACGATTGGAAAGTGTACGTTTTTTACGTAATTTTAAGATTTTCTTTTTTTATTTGTCGAACGCTTGCGTGCGGGGTAGTTTGTACGAACAAGCTTTGCAATATTCTCTTTCTTTCAGTAATTTTGTTTAATTTTCCTTTCACGTGTGTCGAAATAAAAGTTGTTATTGAAGGAGGGAAAGTTTTTTGGAGGAAGTAGGAAAAAATGCAATGACTTAAAAGATGATTGTGGTTCAATTTTGTAAGAAGATAAGGATATTGAAAAAAAACTGCGTTTTGCACATGATGTAGACTTGCTAGCTGAGACAGAACTAGAAGACTAAAAGACTAGAAAACGTAAACTTTTAACTTGTCTCGAAAGCAAGATTACATCGGATGAGAGATCAAAAACAGAAATGATAGGTCAATCTAAAGCTGCCTTTAACAAGGGTGAACAAAGTGAAAAATGAAGAGGTGTTGAGGAAGGTTGGAGAAGCCTCTGCAAAAGAGAAAGGATACCTGGATTGGACGCGTTCTAATACATGAAGGTTTGCTATAGACATTACTGGAAGGTGCTGGGAAGGTAGAAATGCTAACGTAATGATTTGCATTTGCTTAATTAGAATTACTCGTTACATTGTTTTCTAAGATA